ATCAGTGTTAACGTTGGCTGTGATGAGTCATGTTGTTAGCAGGTCTTCTTGATAGGATGTGATGAGAATAGCTTCTGTGGTCTTCCTTCCAAGAATCCTCCCAAGAATTCTTGTCATAGTCTAGGGTCGCCTAATATGCGATGTGCTATCCTGGAATAAGATACTGAAACAGAAAAGGTAAAAACTGAGGAAATATGAATAAAGCATGGAGCTTAGTTAATAATAATGGATCGATATTGGTTCACCGGCTGTAACAAATGTGCATACCAGTATAAGATGTAAGCAACAGGAGAAACTGAGTGTGGGGTAAATGGAAACTTTCTGTTCTATCTCCTCAGCTTTTCTGTAATTCTGAAACTATTGTAACACTTAAAGTTTACATATAAAACAAAATAAATAAATTGTAAAAAAGAAAAAGAAAATAAGAGAGGACAGTAGATATAGATGAATGAGGATAGAGAGTCAACCTGAGGTCTTGGTACTGTAGAAAAGAAAACTAGTAAAATTGGAAAAGAAGTCAAAAGAAAAGTCCCAACTAGAGAAACTTCACAGAGCTGGAGAAAAAGAAAGAGTCCTCTGTGTGCAGATACGATCTAAGCTAAATTAATAAAAAACTTATTCAGGTCTATTCCAACAAAACTTTTGTATTATAAAGACAAAGAAAATTATTCAAGGACCCAGGCCAAAAAGTAAAATTAAACCAAAGCAAATAAAGAGGAAAAAATAATTACAAATGAACAAAAATCAGATTGACCTCAGACTTCTGCAATAATAAATGTCAATGTCCATGGAATTTCAAATAATAGAGCAGTGTTCATGGAATTTCAAATTGGGGAAAAAGGAACTGAAGCCATGTTACATTATATTCACGTGGATGTGGAGTCAGACAGCTGCCCCTTGATCTATGTGTCTTGGGTGAGTCATTAACATGCCTCATAGGATGGGTGTCTGGATTGAATGAGATAATGCACAAAAAGTTCTCAGAACACTCACCAAATGCTGTTTTAACATGACAAACTCAGTTGCAGTTGGAATTTGAACTCAGATCTGCATGAATCTAGAACCAGGCTTACACAACTTGTCCCTGAGTCCTGAGCACGCTAGCTTGGCACTGGGGGTTTGGTACCCTCTTTCATTGTTAAAATTATAGCACCTGTAATGGAAACTAGAAACCATGCCCACATTTAAGTTGTGAATGGCTCTTTGAAGGTCTTAGGGTAATGTAAAGAATATGGGAGAAAGGAAATATTTTACTAGAAGGATCTATTCTAAGAATTTTATTGATCACATAAGTCCTATACACCATTCAAATCAGGCAGTGTCCAAGTTCAATACTTAGAAAATTTTCCTGCAGCCTTCTTCCCCTACTGTCAGCATATAGTCAAGAAGAGGCAGGAGAGTTTCTGGTGCCTTTTATCCTGAGGCCTTATCTCATATTTGATATTTAAGAGAACACTACCTGATAACTCCTAACAACTCTGAAAAATAAATGTTATGCAACATGTAAATATTAATGGATCTGGGTTTTTTGTTATTTTGTTGTTTCTTAATCAAAATGGTCAGAAGATGCTTTAGGCATAAGCCTGGACTTCCTAAGAGGGTCTGGAAAGAAATCGCAGAACTGTAGAAGACAGGAAATGCTTCTATTGCAGCTCACTTCCAGATCTGTGCTAACATTAAATCTTTATATGATTGTTAATATTTCTCAAGAGTGCTACTTCTTTTCTAACTTACTCTTACTTTCCTAGACCTGCAACATCTGATCTAGTCATCAGCTTCTCTGACTTGCAGTCCTGCAAACCCATGCCTTATCTATTTATTTGTCCAAAGTGACATGAAACACTGGAGGCCACATTTTCAAAACCCAATATCAGGATACATATACTGACCAAAGAACTTTTCTGACTTGTGATATCATATACAGGAAAAGTTTTATGAGGTATATGCAAAACAAACTAGTTACACATTTAATGAATCATTTTTATTTAAAGAGAATTAAATCATGTGATGTTAGAACTCTTCCAGAAAATGCAGGATATACATTTCACAACCTGCTCTTTATTTTTGCTTTAATTCTTATGATGGGCAAGACAGAGATAAGAATTCATATCAGCTGCATTTGATTGCTAGCAACAGAAACTGTCTTTTGCTAACACAAGCAAAAAGAAATATTTTGAAAGGATCTGAAATAACTTATAAAATCGGGGGGGGGGGG